ACAGAAAACCTGAACGACAGCATTTTTACGAATGATATCTATCTTTACTAAAATGGTTTCCATAAGGTACGTATTAATTTTCTGTGGAGGAAATTACACGTTTTAAAAGTATTTTTCATTATGCTAGGACGTTTGGTATGCGTTTCTCCCCTCTAAAATGGGAGTGAAGTAGTCGAACGCGTTGACAACTTCACCTTACTTTACGGCTGCGAAACGTGGCCATTAAGAGTAGAAGATATTCGTAATTTACTAGTATTTGATCACGGATATCCTAGAAATATTGATCGCATCTGCTGGGATCACCGGGTAAGTAATAGTGAGGTTAGACACAGGGTATTAGGGATTAATGCTAAATCAGTTGATGAGGTCTTCTGGTCTGAGCCATGTTGATAGATGCAAACTACTTGATTGAGGTCCGCGCGACTATCGTAACCAATGGTTGAAGACTCTGTATGACATGGCTCAGAATCTATCACAATGGCGTATATGTATACACTCTTTGACTTCCCTTAAATTGTGAGATTAAAATTACTTTATACCCTCCCTTCTAATTGTTTCTTCCTGTACTATATCCTTATACAAAATCGTTCTTTTAGATATTACTACCATTGAAGTAACTACTTCTATGAATTTGGTGGTGAAGATTTATAGCTCAGGTGGATGATTTTGATGGAGTTTTGTTTTCTGAGCCGGATGGTTTAGTCGTGGTCCAGCTCAAAGAACAAAACTCCATCAAAAATGAATTTAGTGTTCTTCTTGTAAACAATGAAACAACAATTAGAGACCGATATATTTAGAAAATAATTAACCGTTTATATTGTTGCCATTTCCCCGATCGAAATTCAAATAAATATATAGTGTTTCTAATATTAGACTGATACAATTTTTTGATACTACCCAGCTGCCAAAACTAAAATCGGTCAGTCTATCACAAGCAATACGGAACCTAGCACACATGTGTATCGGTGCACGGCAAGATGGAATTATCAAGAGGAATACCAAAGTAGTAGTATCAGGGACAGTTAACACTAGGCATAGAGAATATGGACAATGAAGAAAATCGTTGAGCACAAGGTACTTACTATGCTAGACACTAGCAACAGGCTAAAAATCATCGAAAATATTGATCGAGTTTGAAGGACATTACACTTACAATTAAAATTACACAGGTATCTTTGTAGTTATTTATTGTCATGTTGAGGATTAGCCACGATAGATAAGCATTTTATACAGACCAAAGCAACATTCCTGGCCTACCTTTAAAATAATAAACTGAGTAAATACTAGATTTTTCTCAAGCTTTAGTCAAATGATAACCAGGTTAAGTGAAACTGGAAAAGAAAATTAAACGTGAAATCGATCTTAAATAAATTATTTTCTTTCCGATAAAAGGAACAAGTGAATGAAATCACATTTTAAAAACTGTAATTCATATCATTGAAAATATACACATGAGTAAAACAAATATTTAACAACTAAAATCAAATATACATGCACAACGTAGATATATTTTTAAATCAACGCCTACGAAGTTTAGTCAAAAAATCGAAGTATTTCTGGATACCCAATATTTGACAGAAATACAGTTAAACATACGAACCCGGTTCAGTGGTCTGGAGGTTAAGCGAAAGTATACTAGACCGTAGGTCCTGGGTTTGATTCCTCTTTGCGAGGTCGTGGATGCGCACTACTGAGGCCAGCCAATGCTTCCAGCTTATTATTGGTAGTCTAGATAAAATTATTTTGTGATTTAAACAAAGAAAAACAATCACTAAAAAACGGAAATATTTAAATTAGCTGAAAGGAGCACTGATTTAGGAAATATTTTCGAAGTAGTTCAAATAACTGGATGGATAGATGATGTTTCATAGCAAAGCAACTTGTACTCATGATATAACTGACAAAATACGCTGAGGTTGCTTTCTTTACATTCAAAAAGATAGTAGTTGTGAATGCAGGAGAGAGTTTATTCTGACATATTATGAATGGGAACTTTAAGGGAATAAGTCAGAAGGTAGAATACAAAAATACAAAGTAAAGAATGCTGAACTATCGAAATGTGGATAAGACTGAATATTAACCAGTTGCATAAAAATGTCCAATAAGGAAAAAAGTATATTCAGTTACGACGACTTAAAAATAAATCAAAGTATTTTAGAAGTTATAAAATATACAGCATGAATAAACAATTTAGTCAAACACATGGAATAAAGAATTATCTGTGTAGAACAGTCTGATTGGCTATCCAGTGCTGCGTGTGTTTGTGCGTGTTCACTCTGATTTCCATGTTTATATTATAGTCAATATTAGTCTGCTATTTAATAAATCTATTGAGAATGGGAATTTGTTGGCCGAAGGTGGCAGATGTATACCATATTTTACATATCAGTAGTGACATTTTATAATTTTATGCATATAAAAAAATAGTCTGATAGTCATTATTGAAAAGAAAAGGGTATGTACAAGTGAGGTCCAAAAACAAGTTTTAATAAACGGTCTAAATACTTGAAAGATACTGGCATTAGAGATAACCGCGCGTGTAAAAAATGAACTAATATGAGGGGGAGATAGATGTTAAGTAAATGGTGATTTGATTCCGCATCAGAAACAACAAAGAGGTTGTATAAAAATACGGAAAAAATGAATGGAACTGATTAGACTTTAAGTAATAAGTAATAAAATTTCTGAAATTAGGAATGAGAATTCTGTCCTTACTTTTGAGAGCCAGATAAATCATGAATATGACTAAATGAGACAAACTAAGTAAAATCATGGTAGTTAGTTAATGGAAATCTGGAACATTGGTTGAAAGTATGCAATTAGTTGATTACTCGAAGCACAACATAAAGACAGAACTGACATTCGTTTAGGCTTATTCGAGATATTTAGGGAATAACTATTCTTATAGAGTACGGAACGTGTTTCGAACAGTAACAAGATTTCCCAGATCATAAAGAAGTGTGATACATGTCAAAGTAACTTCTTCGTAATATTTCAAATCATCAGTCTAAAAGCTAGCGTTATCGATTAAGTAATTAATCGTAGCTAAACACATTTACAGAGTAGTAGGATTTTGACTTAAAAACTGGGATTACTGAGTGGTCTTGCGCTCCTTGAAATTAGACGTGTTCAGTCGTATCGCTCTCCGGGTAAACTCTATGTTATGAACTATGATTTGAAGAATAATGAATACCGGTAGATAACATGGTGTAATAATACAAGGTGATTGAGTAATGGCTGCTTATGAGACTGAATATTGACACAAACGTCGTAAATAAACTTAGATCGAATACAAAAATACTAGTCAGAAAAATAGAAATTTAATATCTAATTAAATAACATGTTTATACATAAATTATTAACAAAAAATAACGTAATAAAATGTTATAAACGATTGAAGGATATCAGGTTTGTAAATCGCTTACTTTCTAGTGAACCAAGATTTACTGCCTCGTCCTATTTGAGGTCTAGGAACGTCATCACTACCGCCGGAAAAAAACAATCTCAGTTGGGAGTTTGACCAGTCTTATCTATGTCTGAAGAGCACTTAATCAATATAACTGAGTCTTAAAAGTATTAGCGAGTAAAAAATGTTTGCAAATGAACAGAACACAAAATATACAGTGCATGAGCAACTATACAAACAGATTGAAAGTGCACACACCAAAAATACATAATAACAACATGAGAGGAAAAAGTGACGAGAAAAAAACTAGTATGTGCTGTTTTTTTCTTTACCTGTTCCCTCTACATACGTTATGGGTGTTTGTTGTGAGTTTAGATTGTTAACATCCGAAAAGCGAAGAATGCAGAAAAATTAAATACGTGGGATGAAAAAAGGAAACAATGAAGTTATTGAAGAAATACTAAATGCCCAGTAAGAATCACTTTTTATCTGTGAATGTTTACGGAGGAAGAAAGGATATTTAATATTCATTCAACGATTAATGGTGAAAAACTTACAATGACTAAAAAAACGGTCGACAAGTAACAAATATAAAGACTCGTATATTCAATCATGTGTTAATATCAGGTACCAACTATCATCACTAATATCATTCTGAAAATAATATTCGTACTTTTTATACAAACATAAATCAACCAACCATTCTTGTTAATATAGATCTCCAAATGATCAAGCCAGTTTTTGAGTAAGGCATTTTTTCTAAACACGCTGTGTAAGACGTAGTAATACCGTTTATTCCAAGTAGGCCTAGTACGATCTGAAAATTTAAAGCTGGTATATGTTTTCTGTCCAGCTTGTAAACACTAAGTATACAACATGGATCCAGGAGGTCTGTGACTGTTGACCATAAAAGCTATATATGATCTCTGAAATAGTTAAAACTGACAGTTGACAACATTTATTAATTTATTTGAACACATATATATTGGTACAAGGAGACACCAAGTATATATGCGCCACAAAAATCTCATTTGAATTGTGTGAGGACTGTGATACTGCTCGGGTGACCAAATCAAGGTAGGTGGTTTTCTTAAGGAGCCACACCCGGAGCCTTCGACCTGAAGGTCTGACCCACAAGGCAGTGGAGGAGCATCGTAAGGAAATGCAGTCCCATAGTAGCCGGTGACCAAAACTTGGTTCATACGCCATTTGCTCCCAAGAACCCTGGGGCCTATGTCCACCAACCCGGTTAAAGCTCCGGACATTCGCTTTTCGTCCTCTCAATTTCGTAAACAACACCCCCGCCAAGAGAAGGCAGTGAGTGTACTTCCCTGGCAGAGGCTATATAGGTGTGTCCATGTGAGAGCATTTCGAGAGGAAGGGCGGGTCCACCCCACTCTCGGCCGTACCAGGGCATTTGGGGGCAGTTGACAACATGAAACAAACCATTAGAAATTGATATTCCAAAAACTGTGTATTATTCAAGTCTTATCAATAGAGAATAACTGTAGGAAATCATTATGTTGATGAACAACTATCAATGAGCTTATCAGTCTCAAAAATAAACAAGAAAATTAGAAATGTGAAAAATTACCTTTAGGACTGATAGATAAATATTTGCCACGAAATTTTGTTGACAAAAAATAATCTTGCCAAACTTTCCATTTATGTCGTAATGATTCACAATACTGACTGCAACCAGGTGGATGATGACTAACCTTAAATGATCCAAAATAAAAGATAAACGAACAAATATCCTGATGAGAGAATCAAGCAAAAAAGGGATTATTGTGAAACTAAAGTGTCTCAAAGAACAAAATTAGTTTAGCGAAATGTACACCAGAAAGGAAAGATATATAAGGAACATGTGGAATACTCAAAGTCGATTACTAAGAGAAGTATAAGTTTATAAACAAAAATTGCTGTATGCAGTCTATCATAATTATTATTACAATCCTCCTTAAACCAAATAAAATACTTCGGAATTCATTACACCAATCAAACAGTAGTAGAAAATCAAGTGCTTAAAACCGGTTAAACAATATTACGATAATGATTGTCAAATTGGTCGACGAAACAACTGACACTAATTGTCTAATCTACACAACAACAACCAACCAAATTCCACACAATTTGATAGAATAAGCTGTGTAGTGATCCAAATAGCTCACTTCGCTATGAAATTTGTGCTGATGACATTGTTCAGAATGATAATAACAGCTTCACAACGAAACCATACAGTTCAGAAAGCAATAACACTTTTTCAATATTTGTATAATGATCTACAAATATTATCTATTATTTTATAAACCACTAGAGATAATAATGAATCTTAAATCCTAAATACGATGGTATATATTTGATGAGTATTGTTAAACAAAACAATACTTACAAAGAAAACGCTTTTTTCTTTCTAAGAAAAATATCGATTAAAACTCATAACGACTAAAAACTTCATCGATAAAGTAAAATGTAAAAATAGAATGTATCTTTTCTTTAAAAAATGTTTTAAATAAATAATAAGTAGTTTTGTATGTTTCAAGTAAATAAAGAACCACGCCAAAATAAGGCGTTGACAAGATTTAATTACAGCGGGAGCAGCAACAATAAGAATACCAACAACGATGGTGTCGGCAACACACGCGCGTATGCGCATACACACACACACACACAAAAAAACAGGCATAAATACTGACTTCGATTATTGTTTTATTTCGTTATAACGAAAATGGTAAATTTTGAAAACAATGAACTAAATATATATGAAAAATACCAGACATTATTTGGTAAATGCATACATCTACACAATTTATATTTCACGTGTAGTGATGAAGAAAGAGGGAGGGATTGGTGAATGTGAATTAATTAATTAAAAGTTAATTTACATTTGTTTAAATGGTAAAAGATAGAAACAGCAAAAATTGAAGCATTTCGGAATCCAATATATTTTTTCACTATCCATTTCAGTATATTTTAATTGTATGAAAAAACCCGGTTTATATTATATATATTACGTTTAAGAGATTCGTTATATAGTTAACAGTAGGATTCAGGAGGCGCGTTTCTATTTAGGACTCCTCAGCTGGATTTAACTGCACGAGTGAGTGTTCACATTGACACTTAAACCCAGTATTTTTGGTTTCAAAATTATAACATCTTATTCACTGGATTACTGCTGACACTAACTTGTTTGATGGATATGAATGTTTAAATAAGGATTAGTAAATCCTATTTGCTGACATTCAGGACTGCAACCGATTAGACTTTGCAGATAGTTTAACAGTATTATTTTGCTTTAACAATGAGAATTTTCTCAAAAATGAAGCAATAGACCTCGTGTATACAAAGTGATTCTCTGTACAAAAGTTAGTTTTCGAGAAGTAATCACACGAGTTACTATATTTTCAGCGTTACCAATGCAGTATTGTTATGTCCCGATAAACATAATGAATGGTAACTTTTGGGATCCATTTATGGGCCAATACTATGCGTATATTTTTATCATATAATTGTTAAGTAACTAAACTATTCATATTCATGTCCCTCTTATTGTGAGCTTTATTTTGACCTATGAACTATTATTATACGATTTACCATACTTGAGTTATGCCCTGTCTATCAATTACTGTCTCCCATATTCACAGCCACTTTCGGCTAAATTCCGTGCAAATGTTATTTTCTATTTTATGGTACGATGTGGTCTGTTTGGTGCAGGTACATCCAGCTGACGAGTCCCAAATAGGACGAAAGGCGCGTCCTGGATTCCACTGCTGGCCACTATTCATCTTTGCTTATAAATTCAGTATTTTTGAAATAAACGATTCATATTCCAGGGGCTGAGATTGGTGTTTTGGACTTAACTGGCTGGTCTAGGCAGGAAACAGGACTGATAAGGACTCTAGAATGCTCGCACGGGTTTTATGCGTCATTGGTCCGATCGATAATTCACTGCTCTCTAATTGGTGGTAGCATTACGTATATATTAAAAAAGCACACAGGTCACAAGTTACAACAAGTATTATGTCACGATTTTTGAGGTAACATTAAAAATTCCAACGTAAATACCGTTACGATTTTAGAGGGCGAATGTCGAAATACCTATGGAAGAAACTAGGGCCAAGATCTTGAGGCATTACAGAAATAGTCAATGAAATTTAATGTAACCACGACAGATAATCAATCCCAACATAAGTAATAAAATTATCAGACCTAGCATACGAATGGTTTGGAATTAATATGAAATTTGATTCACAGAAAAGGATGGATAATCCCAAGACCAAATGGGAGACACAAATAACCTAGTTTCATACAAAAAAGATAAAATTGTACAGAGAAGAAATCAATTAACAATGTTAAAGATTTAAATGTAGACGAATAAAGAACAATCCTGTATTATTTACCATTAATTAATGACAAATTTTCATGATGATAATTGAATACAGAAAATTTGGTAATCGCTACGCCACATACTGAAAAAGGAGGCTTCAAGAAGTACATGTAAGAAAAGTCACATAACAAAATACAACATCACATATAAATTTGACTGGATAATATCCCTTATTCGAGGGATAAACATTTATATATATGAAAGAAGATTAAAAAAATGCATTTTCATACCTGTTCTGAAATACAACGCCAACCCATATCATCTGTACGATCACATTCATAAGTTTCGCCGAGTAATGAATTAAATGGTTTTCCTACACGATAAGCAGTCGAACTATAACAACTAACTGAAAATGCTACAACATAAGCCATTTGTTCCACTGGATCTCTTGTCTGTGAAGCATAATCTAATAGATTGGAATATGTGAAATCTTCAACAGCTCGTTGGAGGAATGACAAAGGTTCGTTGAAATTTACCTGAAATATTAAGGTTGTGTAAGACTTTGAATAGGAATCTCTCTAAATGTTTATTTCAGAATATATATATATATATATATATATATATATATATATATATATATATATATATATATATATAACTATCATTGAACGATGAGTTATTTGATACGAAGTTAATTTGTGGCAATCACATGAGCTATGGATTGACCAAAACATTAAGATTTTCCAATTCACATTAAAGCTAAGTGGATTATCAAAAAGTTACTACCATATTTATTTAAATAAAAACTGTGATAACTTCCTTAAATAACTTCATATTTGTTTTTATTTCCGTAAAGTTCTCTAAAAGGTTTCCCAGTTTTTAACAAATGGCTTACAGGTTTTCCACGATGGTCTAGCTTTAATCGACTCATGAATTTAACTATTAAAAATTACTACAATATCCACAAAAACAACATTCTGTTTATTTGTATAAGTTTAGTCTTAGAATTAGTACTTAGAATATTTGTCACTTTAATTCACTGAGTTTCTCTGTGTACTTAAGTAATTAAAGGTACAAAATTTCAAGTACCAGCGTATTTAAAGTGTGAATAGTTCATATTTCGCAAACATTTATAGGTGGCGAGAAAATAGTGAGAATTAAATTATAACTACGGACCAAGTGAAATAAAAAGTACATTAATGAAGAATTACAGATGAGTCTGAAATATGTTGATAGTTAACCATGACCCTGACCTAATTCTAACAGGATGTAACGAAACAATGCATGGTTTATCAAATTAACTTGTTGAACATCATTTTATAAAGAGATGGAAGTATTTAACAATACACAGGCATATTTCATACAGCTATTCGACAATGCTGCTCCTGAATTGTTTTAATCAATTATACGTAACAGGAGAGGTATTTTAATTATCATATTATTAAGTAAAATATAAATGACACAAAATACAAGCGCTCACAGGAATAGGAATTTTTGCCAGATCTTTACCGATAGCATTTTTAATTATACCCCATAAATTTAATGCAATTTTTGGTGAAACAGGTATGGTATTCCGACGTTTACGAATTTTTCCATATTTCAATGTGTTATTATGCTGGTCAGTAGTAGAGTTTTTGTTGTACGTGTTTGGATATCCATCAGACTGTTGGGTAGGGAAGAAAAAAGCAAAACGATGATATAAATAGCTCTGAATATTAGTGTTGGAGTGATCCAGAAAATTTCTTGCAAAAGACAAGCAAGGGCCAGGAAACACTAAGATGCGTTTCATCCAATCAGCGTTCACTTGAAGTTTTAGCCAAAAATATCAAGGAAGTGAAACGTCACATGTGGAGGTTCTGATTGGCTGATTGCTATATTGCTACTATGTTTAGTAGCATTCCGGAATCTTCGAGCAACCCAAGGATATTTAAAAATATTATAAAAACCCTATATTAAGACGAACTTCGGAGTAGAGTACTTCTCGCATGCCTTACGTCTTCTCTCTCGTTGTTCAGATCGCTGTATAGTTCTAGCTTGGGGTTACAGAATAGCCTAGGAAACGAATATAGCGTTCAATTTGCAAGACTTATCAGAGAGGGGGACCAGTTGTACAGAGAATATAGTTTAATTGAGATCTCAATGTAATCAACGTTGTCTGACCTCTATTCTTTTATTCAATGGGCTACAATGATTGGTATAACACAATTTTGTTTGATGCTTTCTCACAATAGTTTAGGGATTATTTAGCTCCGGGCTTTGCGAATAAAAAAATCCCTTAGGATTGGGTTGCATTAGGTGTTTTGATTATGTTTATTCGCTTCAGCTTTTGTGTAGCATCTTTTAATACTATCAATGAATAAAGGCCAACATAAACATAGATTTTAGATCCATGAAGTTTGTCCTGACTTCCAAAGGTAAGTTTCACTTTTCACTAAGAGTAAATGTAATTGAATTAACCTTGATAATCAAACATATTAGAAAAGGAATTTTTAGAAGCTTGGTTACATTTGATGTAGCCGTACGTATATAGCTCATAAAGACCTAAAGGCATTATAAATATATCATGACTTTATTGACTACTTATTGATGTAAACGACATGCAGGGGCTTGTAATAGGCAGTCAGAATGAATGGTTGGGAACTTTAGTGGACTATAGTTTGTGTGTGAGAAAGGAAGAGGAAAGGGGGGAACGAATAACGAATTTACATCTTTTGTGATAATAATTCTTTGTTTCAACTTGCAAGCAACCTTATTAGTCTCACTCCATTCATGTGTAGATTGAACTCATTTTAGGTTTAGGTGGGATTAGAATTAATTTTTTATTTATAATTTTAGTTATTCATTTGTACTTATGCTCAAGTATGGCCATTTTCCTGACTATCTTAGTCTTAACCCTAGGGTCTTCCTGGGTCCAAAGTTGGGTTGTCATGTTTGACTGTTTACACTTGAATTGATTGATTTGTTATAGACTCACCCATTTTTTTAAAATGGCTAAAATACTCCTTAACTTACCGGCATAGATGTAAAAACATTAGTTCTGTTAGTGTATCCATTTGGTAAATCTAAATCACTGCCTGAAACTGATGTTTCTTCAACATTCACCAAACTTCTTAAACTTGCTGATGACACTTGAGTTACATCACTATTATGCAATGATGATGAATTATAATGTAATGGTCTAGGCATTTGTACTATAGATTGATTGATTGTAGAAATAAGTGAATCATTATATTGTTGTTCAGTCACATCTAAATTAGACATGGCGTCATAAAATTCATCACTGTTTTCTTCATCAAGTAATTTTTCTACTGACTGTTTTACAGTTTGCTTGGTTTCTATAAAACGAAATGCCAAAAATGGAAATATTTATTTTATAAAAAACAAACGCTCATATGAATTTATTTAAATCAGAGAAAGAAAAGTAATGGAGTAGGACTGATTACATTTCTTCTATATTCATTAAATATGCAGTAAAATGTTAAGTTTACTACTAAAGGATGGGAAACAATTAGATGGAATTCAATATAAGTTAATGTTGGCAAACAAAGTGGGTGTAAATCAGTGAAGCATAAGCTTAAGTTTGGATGCTGTAGAACTACACTAATATATAAATAGATCTTTGAAAATCAGAGATAAGTCACTGAGTTATTGTCAATTCATAATTTTCATTAGTTCAAGAGAATAGTATTGTATGAACAATGAGACCACTTTATATGTTAATATTGAATCACTACGCGATACCAGGGTAACATATAATAAAAATGAAATATTTTAAAAATTCTAATTAGTAGAAAAATGAATATTTGCCGTTTTGTGGATTTGTGTGATTTACGTTCAAGTCAAGTTTAAACAGTCAAACGTTAACGATTTTGCGAATCGGTGTCACATTCTGATTTGTTCGCCCTATAGATTTCCTCCAGTGTCACACTGTTTAGGCTAAAGTTAACAGTGAGAAACACGTCTCTCTTTATTAAACTTCTATGAGATTAGTCTAACGTATTACATTGAGTAAGACTACTGAGAATACTTATGTTGGTTAAACAATAATACAAGTTAGTGTGTTTTTATGACAAAAACTAGGATACCATCAATCCATCAACTAGTATAATTTAGATAAAATATATATGACAAGACAATAAGTATTCACACGGTAAAAACTATGAAGAGACGAATGTTGCTGCTACCTTGACGTGCTGGTCTGACTTATCTATCGTAATGAACCAATCGATATATAATGGTTGGAACAACCGTTCCTCAAGGTCCCAACGAGCCAGACAGGTCGGTTGAAGAGCGGTAAGACTAAAAGCAACAAACCCAAGGTCCGAAGGCGAAGTCGTACTACTGACTGTACAAAGGTGAAACAGCAGTAAGGAGTTTCCATTAGCCAATCAGAATAACAGCGATGTTGCTTTCATACAAAGAGGGGTGGGGTTAGAAAAGGTAGACCCTAAAAATGCACACCTCGCCTTATCCCACGGATATCCGTCTCCGGTGGTAAGGTCTCAACAAATACGGAGCTAACACGAAAATTACTCACAAAATGGTCGTGTGTGACCGACTTCATTAGTTGTAACAGGGGCACTGCGGTCACCCTCTCAGGTCTCTAAGACCACCTCTAATCCAATTTCCCATTCAGGTACTTCCTGAAGAACCCTTCCACGGTGTTGGAAACCGGGAAGTGATAACTGTCCTCATACCTCTAACAGCACTCAAGACCACTGTATTCATAATCAATCTCTCTCTTCAATTCCTATTATTCCTCCTATATCGACTTTCAACTATTTTAACTTCCTCCTCAATTGTCACCATGGCCAACGATTCTAGTGCTCAAAACACTGTCCCAGATCTATTGAAACCTTGCTCCAAACTACACATTGGAGCCTTCAACGTACACACCCTATGTCAAATCGGTCAGCAGGCCTCCTTTGCTAAAACCCTACAATCTCGTACCATTGATGTATGCTGTGTCTCCAAAACACACATACAGGATCCTAGTGTGGTCATTCACTTGACCTCACCTCGCCGAAGAGACCCGATGAGATACACCCTCAGTGTATCTGGTGACCCGATGGCTAGTTCCCGTGGTCTGGTGGGTGTAGGGATAGCACTCAGTATGAAGGCAGAACAAACACTATTAGAATGGATCCCTGATAACAATCACCTATGTGCTGTTCGGCTAAATGACTTTGTGAGAACTCGGAAGGATAAGGACACACGTTGTTGCCTTTTCGTCGTTTCTGCCTACGCTCCCACTCACTGCAGTCCGGATGAAGTGAAAGATGACTTTTACAGAAAGCTCTCTCTCCTACCAATTTCGTAAACAACACCCCCCGACGAGAGATGGTAGTGAGTATGACTTTCCTAATAGTGGTGGTATACGTGTGTCCATGTGAGAGCATTTCGAGAGGGAGAGCGCACTCTCTTCACTCTCGGTCGTACCAGGGCATTTGGAGCAACAAAGAACTTATTGCATGATGTATACGGAAGTAAACGGGATATACTCATCGAGACACAAAATAAGAATGATTGGTTCAACGAAGAGGTCTCTTCTAGGCGAATACATTTCTAAAGTTGTGCAAACGCAAATACATATACTTCATCCTGAAAAATAAGTATATATATATATATATATATATATATATATATATATATATATATATATATATATATATATGGGATTGTACAGCTCTGTAGATGAATTCGACAAAAAGAGAACTCTTCGCTGAACCATTCTTTCGTATGTTTCTGAAAGTGTTAATCATGTAACGAAAGCATAACATTATGATAATAATTGGATTAAATTCGGCGAGAAAATCTCAATCCAAAATATAACCTTCTAGTTTATTTAATCGTACTAATTAAGTTTAAACTAAACGACCATTGGTGCAGATTACGTTTTCAGTCAGTCAGTCAGCTACAACGTAGGACCAGGCACATATGTGCATAGGTCCAAGTTGCCATACCTCATTAACACAACAAGATGAACACCGAATTCATAGGAGTGGTTAAGTCAATGGTGGTAATAAATAAAAGAAAGATTGCATATAAGGATATAGTACAGGAAGAAAGAATTAGTTCGTAGAAAGAAAGATATGAAGTGGTTTTATTCTCACGATTTAAGGGAAGTCAAAGAGTGCATACAAATACGTCATTGTGATCGATTCTGAGCCATGTTACTAAGAGTTGGTTACAATAGTCACGCAAACCGAGTAGGCTGCATCCACCAACATGGCTCAGATCAGTAGTTAGTGTCTTCAAGCACTGATGCCACGTTTTGGTTTGACCGCCCCTAACTTTCTTCCAAACATCCCCAACACCGGTTAGCATTGCACGTCATGGTAATCGGTGTTCAGGCATACGTGACAAGTGGCCTAACCATCTCAGTCGATGATGATTCACAACCTCATCAACTGATTTACCATCACTCCGTAATGCCTTGCGTCTAACATCACTATTATTTGCCCGGTGATCCCAGCAGATGCGAGCAATATTCCTAAAGCATCTGTGATCAAATACTAGTAGCTTATGAGTGTATTCTACTCTTAATGGCCATATTTCGCTGCCGTAAATTAAAACAGAACGAACTGCCACGCAGTATACTCGTCGTTTAATTGATTGACGGATAACTCGCCTTCGCCATAGGTGACGTAAGTTGGCAAAAGCCGAACGAGCTTTTCGAATCCGTGCTGAGATTTCGTCATTTAGTTGTTTAATTACATTAAGTTAATGTACAGTTTAACGAACAGATTTGCGCAAAATCTTAAGCGTTATTACAGTTCCAATATCAAATAACAAAACAAAAATCAGATGAGATTGTTCTGAGAATCATTCAATTAAATGGATATCATGTATTGACATCAGTTAGACAACAACTGATAAATATAGTACAACGAAAAGTTTTTTTCATCCTAGTTTGGAAATTATTATGGATTGAACCTAACAGTTTCGGGTCTTTAGAGGAGTATATTCATTATCTTTAAACAACTAAGTTGGAATCCAGTGGTCCACATTTTTCATTTTGAATGAAATATTTTTAGAGTAACAAACAAATCGGTATATTCTAATTTCAAATGAGAACAATTAGAATGCAATCTACAATCTAAGAACCGTTTAATAGTAAGTAAATTCCAGTAGTAAAAAACACTAAGAAATCTCTTTCATTGGGTTTTATACTATGTCTTTATTTAGTAAGTGTATCATATGAAATTAATCATTAAAGTACTAAAAATCAAATCGACACAACACGATTTAATATGATCTCACATGGTCAACGCCCACCTCTACTACATCTACATATAAACATGAATTAAAAACTTTCTGATTAAATTATACCAATAGAGGTTCGCTATTAGACTTCTGACACAGTTCAGTAAAAACTAATTACATTTGACATGGTAAATAATTTTCGGAAAAGCTATATCCTCTACAGTCAATAGGTGTAATCTAATGTCTGAGGACTGATATGAATTCATGCTTGATCAGATTAAAAAGGAGTGTACAATGAGTGAATTATTAAATTAGTAGTAAGGGGGTCAATAAATAATCAAATAGTTGGTGTACTATGACAAAAATTAGTTTACAATTCATTGAATAGCAAAAATCAATGCTTTTTTTATAGTTCAGTTAAATTTACTTGAAATATCTAGGTAATCTAAGGATACTGTGTAACGTTGATAATGAGACTTATTTTAGGACTTCATGATGTTTTCTGGGTATACTTTTCATTCTACTGTTTATGAATATAATTATTGATTGGTTTAGTTCTTAGGATAAATAAATAATAACAATACCATGAACAGACTATAAATGTTGAGAAACTAGCTACTGACAAAAGAAAGCCTTGAAACTAGATTTCATGATAGCAACCGGATTCAAACCGGTTTCAGATTCATATATATTGATGAACAAACATAAAATTGGTTCTTCAGTGTAAAACGTGCATACCAACAGTTTACAGTTGTTGGTATAACTAAGCGGTGTTGAAACATCTCACGTAATACCTAATACCAAATAAAATAAGATCGAACCCCTTGAAGCGGTGATTTGAACAAAATTTCGTTAAAAATATTATTTTAATACATAATTCCTTAATTCATCCGACTTTAATTAAATAGTTATTATATAATTGGTAATCAATTTTAGTTTGTTGAAATTTTGAATATAAACGAAATATTTCACCAAAGCAGACAGTCAAATGCAATGTAGACACCCTAGCATATATATGCATCGAATCAAGCTGCCACAACACATCAGCACAATGAGATGACAGAGTAGCACAAGTAGCAATGGTATTAGTGGTAGCATAAAAATGAAGCAAAAAAGATATGATTCGAAA